TTTTCGCCTGGGGCGGCGAAAAAGCCAGAGCCGGCCCTGGTTGTGCCTGGCCGCTCTGCTGTCGGAAACCCCCAAAGACGGCTGGAATTTTTCAAAGAAAAAAAAATGGTTGGTCAAATGAAACACCCTTTTTAATACGGAAATTTGTAGCACTCCCTTGTTGGCTTCCAAAGCTTATATATATATATATTAAAAAAACCAAAAAAACCCAATCCTTTGTTTTTTAAGTAAGAAAGTTTTAAGTGACTTGGGTTCGGGGTTTTTTCCCCAATTTTGAACGACAGTTTTGAAAGAATACGAGGCTGTAATTACGCTGATGCAACCAATTCATCTGTACAGGCTGTCTCCCTTCAAACACAGCAACATGGCTGACAAAAATTGGCTTGACCTGTCTTTTATTAGAGAGACAAGGTGGGGCAGGTAATGGCTTTTGTTGGAGAGAAGCTTTCGAGTTTACACAGAGCTAGATAGATAAATATGGGTGTATATGGATGGGTGAATAGGCGTTTATGGAGATAGATAGATAGATAGATAGATAGATAGATAGATAGATAGATAGAGGCAGGTGTGTGGGATGGGACAGACAGATGGAGGAATGCAGAGATGAGTAGAGGAGTGGGGGCATGGATTGGTGTGTATGGAGATGCTGGGGGGATGCTGGGAGCAATGGATGGGGGTGGGGATGGACAGATGGAGAGGTGTGTACAGGGATGGATGGGTGAGTATGGAGATGCTGGGGGGATACTGGGAGCGATGGAAGGGGGATGGGTGGGTGGGTGGATGGAGAAGTGTGTACCGGGATGGATGGGTGTGTATGGAGATGCTGAGAGCGATGGATGTGGGATGGGTAGGTGGATGGATGGGTGTGTATGGAGGGGGAATATGGGGCTGGATAATGTAATGACACTGGCAGCTGATTTAAGGCTCAGGACAGTTATTTCCTGCCCAAGGAGCAGCTTCCCACCTGCCAGTTCCCGGCCTTTCCCCAGATCAGACATAGCCCCAGAGGCCAGGGGGACAGACGGGGTTCACAGCATTCATGGAGTCAGGTGTTATGTGTGGATGTTCTCCATCTACCCCCACCCCAGAGGTGGCTGCATCTCAGTGCCGGGCGAGCCATCCCCAGGCAGCGTTATGTGTGGCTGTTCCCAGCTGCCGTTCCCCAGAGGTGGCTGCATTTCAAAGTCAGGCCATGGATGCATGTTGTGTGTTATCAAAAGAAGGACCAAAAGCATCGGTTGAGGCTGAGGAATCTACTTTAATAGGAAAAGAACCCAAAGTATCACAATCAAATCAACTGGAAAATCAACCCAGACTGCCGTGAGGAGAGGGCACCCTCTGCGCTCCCATGCTGCGCCCACCTGAAAACCTCCCACTAGTTCATACCCCAGGACTAGTTCTACCCCTCCCCAAATCTGTGTGAAGGGGCTAGACTGTACTCACTCCACTGACCGAGAGGAGCCGGGGAGAGAACCCAGGAGTTCTGGCCCCAGCCCTCTTGCTCTAACCCACTAGATCCCACTCCCCTCCCAGAGACAGGGAGAGAACCCAGGAGTCCTGGCTCCCAGCCCCTCCTGCTCTAACCCACCAGCCCCCACTGCCCTCCCAGAGTCCTGGTTCCCAGCCCTCTCCCCCTCCCCCCACTCTATCCCACTACCCCCATTTCCCCTGTTGCGATGGCCCAGGAGGCTGAGCAGCGGAGCGCCGGGTCTTGGATTCGGGGGGTTGATTGTGTTTGGAAAGATCTGGGGAAAGGCATCAAGCCAGGGCCCGGAGAACTCGGGGCGGGACGGAGCCCGATCCCAGGGCTGCTCTCACACGCCGCATCCTTCTACGTACTGCCACAGATCCTGGCCTTGGCAATACGACGTCCAGGCCACCCTGACGGAGGAGAGAAAAAGAATCAGCGGCCACCTGGTCGAGGTGCCTCATAAAATGCGCCCGAGGGGTTACAGGCGCTGGCCTTGGGCAGGCAAGACCTGGGTTATTCTGCCCAGACTCTGGGCAGGTCACATTGCTGCTCCGTGCCTCAGTTTCCCCTCCTGTGAAATAGGGACGCTTGCACCCCTCATCCCCAGGGGGCTGGGCTGAAGGAAAATGGTTAAGCCAGATAAGGAACTGAGAACTGAGCTGTTAGTCGCACTGCCCGTTATGGATCAGGGCCCAGCCCTCAGACATCTAGTCAGGCTGCAAAAAATCAGGAGATTAGCAAAAACCCACACCAAAAAAACACACAAGCAAACAAACAAAACAGCTTGAGCTTTGCAGACAAACCACAAGAGTCACCAAAACCAAAAGAGTCACTA